ATTGGCAACAGCCACTCTGTCTGTTTGTATCTGGAAGTCCCATAGGATGTTAGCTAGTTCGTTTTCAACCACTCTGGGAGGTGGCTCCTGTATCGACCTCAGGGGCTCCAGTTTCTATTCTGCACAGATATTTCTGCACATTATACCAGCCAGTTGTTGGTCCAATGAAGATCATTTGCACAACAAAATTAATATCTCTGTTTTACTGGGATATCTTGTGGGTTCACTATTGCTGTGGGCAAAAGATAAAAACATAACAAAAAAATACTTTTAGACATCTCTAGTCTGTTTTTACACACTTTTCACAAGGTCCTTTCCCTCTTTTACAGCCTCCATAACAATTACATCTATAAGGCCAATTAAACAACCTCATCTAGTTACTTTTCAAATTGCCAATGGTTACTTTCAATTTGGTAACAGTTAAAAAACTGTAAAATAGCAAAAATTCTCTTGAAACTATTACAGTTTAAGATTTCTTTAGGAGATATAGCAAATTCCTGTAAGTCAGGACAGTTTTTATAAAGTTGAAGTTTTAGGAGACAAAAAGTAATGATAAAAAGAGTAAGCCTTTTTCAAGGAGATGACAGAAAAAGTGGACAAACGCCAAGGAGCCCCTAGAATAAATTGATCCACTTCAGAAAATACAATGAATGGGAGTTTAAAACATCTCTGTGTTTCAAAGTTTTCTTCTGTTCGACTATTTCAAACCTAGTTTACATGTGCAAAGATACAAAAATTAAAGGTAAATACTTTATCTTCACATGTCAGCGATTGCCATGATCCTGCTCTTTATGGACTTTTTGAGTTTTCATATGCATTTTTATTTGTGTCATTAGTTTTTTTTATTGACTCACTTGTGCCGATTTCCTTTCCCTTGGCTCCCTTCTAGTTTCTTCTATCCACACCTGCTCCATATCAGCTCATTAGCCCATTTGTTGTTCTGTTCCCCATATATACACCACCTCTGCAGTTCCTCATGGCTGCTTTCTTATTGCTTTGTGTCTTCATTGCTTGCTCCGCGTGTTCTTTTTTTCCCTGGCATCTTCTAGTTTTTTGGTTTCTTAATTTGTTCCTGGATTTTTGCCTCTGTTGCCTCTGGAACCTCAATTAAATCAGTTAAACTTATCTCTGCATCCTCATCTTTGCATTTGGCTCCTCTAAAACCCCCGCACAACCTTACAGTTATTCAATCTAATGATGTGCAAAAATTTCAAAATTCAAACTTATGTTACTTTTCGAATAAAAAAAGTAAAATTTGAGAATTAATCATATATATATTTCTGTTAAAAATGGTTTCAGTTTGTCTGATGAGTTCCTGCATCAAAATCCACAAGTAAAATGATTTCACGTGTGGATTTTATTCTGATCCCTAATCTTAAACAAATCCTTTGACCTGTCTTTCTAGGAGCCTTGGATGCCTTTTAAAAAAACAACAAATAAGCCATTTTTGTTGTGTCTGCATTCTGGAGAGAAACAATTAGAAAAGTATTAATTTTAACCCCAATTTAATCCTCACCTGTTTGTGAGGGAAATTGATAGGTAATGGGAAGACACACCATGAACAGCTCAATAGTCTAGGCTCAACAGTAAAAAGAGACTCAACCTAAGTGCAGTTAAGAATGGCCACTAATCTAATTCGAAGCCCCTGCAGGGAGCACATGTTGGGATTTGAACCGAGGACATTCTTGCTGCAGGACATCAGCATTAACATCCTATCGGACTGCGCAGTCCATCAAAGAGACATGGAAAATGTAAGAACTCCCTGCAGTTATCTAATTTGTTACTGCTACTGTTTATTTATTGCATTTTTTTTTTAATTTTCTATCTATAAGTAGACTTCATTATTAGAAAGTTATTCTGACAGGAATATTGGCACATCACCTCCAACCTCCATTTTTTTCACATTAAGATAAAGATCAATTCATTTGTAAATATCCACCAAGTGAAAACATGACAGCATATTAAACATCAATATTACAGCATTAGCCTAAATTGTTGCAGAAATAGTTTAGAGATTGGGGATGAAGGTAGGAACCCATTCAGATTTTGGTCCCTTTAAGACTAACCTTTAGCTTCAGCTTCCAGATCTAATAGTTAATAGTTATCAACTGCAGATAAATAATGATTCTTTCATTTGAAAAAAAAAAATGTTTAGCTATTGTACCTTTAAACCTCTATGTCAGGATTTTTTTTGGGAAAATATTAAGATTTGAGGTCAGAGGAAATACTTACGTCCCTAATATTCCATTTTTTCCAGAGAAATAAAGTGGAAAATACACTAAACAAAGTAGAAAGCTCGCAATAACTCACTGGGTGTATTGAATATGTATAATAATATTTCGTGACATATGCAACATCAGTGCATACCGACAGAAAACAATTCTTCAATAAGGTAACTCCCTTGCTCATACATCAACAAATATTTTTCTGCGGCAAGCACATAAAGGTGGACTTAAGTATTCACAGAACATAAGCAAATATAAACTTTTCCCGGCTATAATGTGACACACGGTCCCAGAATCTATTTGA